CTCTGTTTGTGTCCTCGCGCTCAGTGTGACTGATACTACACAAACACACAAACAGTAAACAAGCTGATGTAAACACGTCACACCGCGCATGTCCGTTTCACGATAAAACATTAATGTTGTCTTACTTCAGATCAGAGATCAGACGGAGCGGAGGAGACTGAAGTTGACCCTGCGGCTGTGTACGGAAGCGTCACCATAGCAACGACAAAGAGGCAACCGTCTCTATGAGCATCTAGCGGGGGGCGGGGCTAAGAGAAGACCAGCCGCCCCGCCGGGAGGAACTGGTGAAATAAATAACTTTAGTTTTAAATGAAGTTAAATTTCAACTCAAATACTAAAAATACAAATTGAAAAAAGCGTTAATAAAGAAAAACACCTGAAGAAGAGAAATTCAACCAAATGCGTAAAGTTTTTATATCACTAATATTGAAATCAGTGGGAACAAATAATACTTTTCTGAGCATTAATCAATAAAATAAGAAAAGGGTGATGTTTTCCTTCGCACAGAGTAGTGTAGGGACTGTTCTTCACTTGTCAGAGGAGGAGCTGAGGTGAAGCTCCAAATATCTCCCCTTGAGCCTCCCTCCACCATAAATGAGTTGGGTTTTTAATTTGATGTTTGAAAGTTAAAAGAGTTGAAAAAAGTCTCAGTTTGCAAATGTTTTATTTTTACACAAATTTCAAATGAGTGATTTTGATGAATTATCACTGTTGTAAGTTCAGATTTGGTTCTTTTCTTTTTTTTTGTCAGAAGCGTTTGTCGCACATGATGTGACCAAGTTACGTCAGATTTTTTAAAATCCAATGATAATTTCTGTTTTCACAGTTTCTGGGTGATAAATGGAGGAATTTTTGGAGAGTTTTAAGGAAAGCATGCCGACCAAACTTGCCTCGAGCTTAAAGGGCATGTTTTCTTTAAAAATTGCCAAAAGTTTTAAAGAAAAAAAAAGCCAACAAAATTTTAAAGAAATTATCCCCTCCAAGCCCACCTTTGCCTTGTAAAGAAAGAAAAAAAAAAATCACCAAACATTTTTAAGGGAAAAAAAAAACAAATTGGAAATTAAGGGAGAAAAAAAAGAAAAAAAATCACCAAAAAATCTTTAAAATAAATAAATAAATCACCAAATTCTTTAAAGAAAACACGCCCATTAAAAGTTGTATGTCCCTCCCCCAACCCAAAATAAAAAAACATGTGTCCCTCCCCAGTGAGAGAATGATTTCCCCTTCACAACTGACGAACAGTCCCCAACACTTCTTTTTCTACAACATCATTCCAGCGAGATTTA